CAAGTTTAACGTGTACCACCGCTGGTACACATGGCACGGAACGTGTTAAATTCTTACTCATTTTTGCGTGATATTTGTCTCGAGCATACAATCGCACGTTACATATTTGCCAAACGATAAAAGTATTTGGCTAGCCGATCCGCCGGGATTATACTTAGCGACGTGCCGGCAACGTTGGGAAAGCCAGTTATCGGCAGATCGGGAGAGGAGGAAAAAAAGAAATTCTGATAAGGTTACTCACATGTAGTCTCTGATGGGTCGCGGTGTAACGTGCGCGGCACACGAAATCCTCGTGACAAGAACGTCGAGCAAAAACCTGCACAGCACAATCGGAGCACTGATCGGAGAGAGCACACCAAAAACCAGTTCACTTCAGTCGAATAATAATCGCACGATACATCTAGAAACTACGCCCTACGATCCCGTTCCGGGAGGCCGAGACAACGTTACAGTCACTTGGTCTCCATCGTGTCGTGTCGGTTTCGTTTCGCTTCGGGACAAGTTCATCCTCTCCTTCCTTCCTCTTCACCATTCTTCTCACCGCCGCTGTTTATCTCTGCCTGCAAAACGACACATTTCACCTGTAAACTGTGCAACAATAACATACGGCATGGTCCGCGTTACGATAGCGGTAATTGTTACGAGAACATAAGGGGCGAAAAAAAATCGTGAGGAAACGACGCACGCGTCCCTTCTACGCGAAGCGTCTACGATTACTGGAAACGCGGGAAATTTAAATCATCGACGCCCAATGTCCTCGTCGTTTCCCGCGTTTCCGCCGCGCATTGTATGTAAACGTTGACCAAATCGAAATCGGGAGATTCGTCACATCGGGTATGAGACACGTGCGCCATTTCGATTCAGTCAAAAGAAAAAAGAAAAAAAAAGAAAAGGAAAGCGAGTGCTACTGCCGCGACTATCGGCACAAACGCGACTTACTATGTAGATCGTGCTTGAACGCCACGATTCCCGTTTCACTCGCCCCGCCGCAGGTCCCTGCTTGTTAATCACGCCGTCCATCTCCCATCTCACGTTGAAACGCGGACCATAATTCGGGAACGTAAGGCTTCTTCGAGAGGAGAGAGAAAAAAAATCGCGGAACGCGAGAGTCGTTCCGCCGCGAGGTGGCCACGAAACGAGGTTAATGGCACTCGAGATCGCACGTACACTGGCTGGCTCCCTCGGACACGTCGTTCTTCATCAGCTGCACGTAAGGCCGAATTCGCGTCCCGGTATCCGCGCGATGACTACACGACGTGAACACGCGAATTTGAAGGATGAGTAGACACGGGTAACAACGAGGCACAGGCAATATCCCCGGTGAACGTCAATTTTCAGCAAGAGCAGGGACGGCACTTATAGTAACCCACTTTCCAGCGACATTGTTCCATTCCACTGACAGTTTAGTCGCGACACGCGCGATATAACTCGAAGCGATGTTTCTCGACTCGCGCGAGTACCATATGTCCGTGAATCGCGTCGATTCGTATCGCCCCGATTCGAGACGACCAGCTGACAGCGTCAGAGGACTGCGGAGAGGAAAACAGCCCTCGCCTTGCTCCATTTAACTGTTCGACGACAGTTTCAACGAATCGTTTCGTCGCAGGGACGATCGCCTCTTCGTACGGTGTTCGCGATCGTGTTCTCGATTCGACGAACGATGACCCGACGAGCGTCGCGAGCTGTCCGTTTCGGATGAAAAATTCGAAAACGGGGAACGCGTAACGAGAATGGTGCACATATCGAATAACCTCGCGCAGCCAAAATGGTGGACGACACTCCCGTGTTCCGCTTTAACTCGGTCGCCTGCCGCGTCCTCCTCTCGCGGCTGTTTGAACCGTCGGTCGCTTCGAACACAGCCTCTGTTCAAACAGGAGCCAGCTGCACGCAGGATCTCGAACGAGGAATCACACTGTCGAGGACTCGTGATCGAGACGAAACGAGAGCGAAACACGATCGAAGTACAGAGTGCACTGGAACCGCCTTCTGGTGCACAACACAACACACAGCACCCACCGTACGTGCAAAGTGGACCACCCGGCTGGCGCGTTCTTCTATCCGTTTCCGCGATTACGCGTCCGTCCGCGAATGTCCGTTAGCGGTTAGGGAACGTTTCGTAGGATCTGGAAAGGGCCTTGGCCCAGTCACCTGATCGTGGCGTGGAAAAAAGCTGCACGAAAGACGGCAGCGTCGACAGGCTCCTCGCCGAGGGCATTCCAGCGCAGGCAGGGTGGACCGAAACGAACGCCGCGCCATCTGCCGGCCAAGCCGCTCACCCGACCACTGGCATGGCCGCGCAACCAACCCTCGCGTCAATAACAATCCAATTGTACACGGCGACGCGTGGTTTTGTCGCACACCTCGCATCCTGACGCGACAACTTCCTCATCATCTCCTCTTAACCTTAGGCTCTCGTCATGCCTAAAACAACGACAACCGACCACCGACGTGTTGTCCAGACGTGCGTCTCTCGTTACGCGCGTATGAAGAAACACCGCGTACCGTTTCGTCCGTTTTCGATTAACCGCGCACCGAAACTACAGGGGCGGCTGCGCGATTCGAACTGAGCGCAACTTCGCATGGGAACCGCGACCCCGCGACGGAAACGCACGAGATCGCACGAACGTGCCTCCTCGAACGTCGAGACACCTACGAGCCATTCTACGAAATTTACACGAACTCTTCCGTCGATCGAAGGAGTGAACGCTATCGTATGGTCAGACAGTGACCCGTGAAACGAAACCAATTGATACGACAAAATAAATAACGCAGTTATGCGACAAGCACGCGTTCGAATTTCTTTCTTTCTTTAATTGCAATTAGTATTTTGTTATTAGTATTTATTTCGCAAGGATGTTGTTGATTTTGGTATCTGTAATGAATATATCTATGTATCTATTTGTAATTGTAATTCGACTAACCAGATATATATTTATAGTTTATGAATAATAAGACAAAGGGAAGAACCTTTTATTTCTATGTATGCATAGTCTTGTAATGTTTAAAATTCCAGTCGTGCATTCCCTGTTCTCCTTCTTCTTCTTTTTCTTCTTCTTCCTCTCCTCTCACCGAAAATTCCTCTTCTTTAGATATCTGAAACGTTAGTTCAAAATACCTTTGCTTCGTCCGACAAGATTTTTGTCATGATAATTTATCGGACGTTGAAAAATTAATTAAAACACGGACAATTAGAAAAATCTAAAAGGAATCTAAACCTTGAAACACTTTATACATCTCTCTGCATATTGTGTATATTTTTTACATTCCTATTACTTCAGATCATAAATATAATTTTATTATTATTCAAATGTATAATCGTATAAGGAGAGTATAATAAAGAAAGAAGACGATAAGATATGAAACTTTACTAATAACACCGTACCGGTTCTTCGATCATAGACCGAAGGTAATTTAACTCGTTATCTTTCTGTAATTGCCACTGCCTACGCTCTCGACATCTTCTATAATTCAGCAACCAAAAACCAAGATAACTGACAGGATCGCAAGGCTTCTTTGTTACAATTTCCTTGATTGCCATCTTCAATGGCAATTTAAAATACTTTCTCAACCATTTACCATCGAAAGATAGTTC